TACCACGAAGGAAATGGTTAATTTCTTCGCGGTTTGCCATCCGGAGCGAATGCCGGAATGCAAAAAGTCCTGCGAATGTTACAAAAACAAATTTTTTTTTTTAATTAAAGTTCGGTTTCCGGTGGTAAACATTTTCGGAGTCAACGCCGAAAGAAATGTAGAAAAATCCTACCAGAAATGAACAAATGAATCATGCAATATAACAAATCAATTGCGTTAATGCACTTGGCCAAAAAAAGGAACCTATACTATTGTCCAGAGTCCAGAAACTTTTCAAGAGGTCACAATATTTGGTTAAGAACCCTATACTGAAAAATCCTTCTATCAAATCCAAGAACCTTGCACAAATGGAAAATCTGTATTTACTGTTGGAATTGAACTTTATTACTACCGGATTACAGAGCAAAACAAGTCAGAATATTTTCGTTTTCGGATCTTTAACAAAGAAGTTCGNTGTTGTAATTGAACTTTAATACTACCGGATGACAGAGCAAAACAAGTCAGAATATTTTCGTTTTCGGATCTTTAACAAAGAAGTTCATTTAGCAAAAATGCTTTTATACTTCCAAACTTGTGTAGCCCCACGTTGGGCGCCAAAAAATGTAATGGACGATCTTAGCTGACAGCAGCCGAGCGGAGGTCTTCCTAGTGGGAAAGTTTAAATAGATTTAACAATTACTTTGTTAGCGTGTAGAAAGCCGGACGGGACCCATTGATCTAGGCTAGTCTTCAGTGGCTGGGGTGGTTCTTGGCAATTCTACCAGCTATCCTCACTAATACATTTTATTATTATAGAGTCCCTACTAACATTACAAAAAAAAAATTAAACCAAAATAAAAAAATACATGGGCTGGTACACTACACTAATATTGCCGGAACTCCATGGTTGGCTCTTTCAACAAACAACAACAAAAAAATGGCCAAGTCAAGATGGAAGTTGACTTTCCGGCTCGCAACCCACCCATCCATGGTTTCCTACGGCGGAATTGATATGGAAACCCCAATAGCGCACTACATTACCATCATGCCCTGCCTTACCAAGAGGAAACTACTTCACCACTACTACTGCATCATTTCAGAAACACACAAAAAAAAAATTGCATGAGAAAAATGTTACAACTTTTATTCATATACGGGCTCTCATTTCCTACAACTACATCTTCATGGGTTTCCTACAGGTAGTATACCTACACAGTTAGTTTCTTAACCCTATTTATTTTTTTCTAGAATTTTAAATTTTTGTTTTTGTTGTTTAAATTAACTGTAATTTAAATTTTAACACAGTATTCAAAATCACGTAGTTAAATTCAAGAGTAATTCAACTCATTTACGTGCTTAGGTACTATTAAGCTGTATTAGTCATGTATGTATATATTTGCTTTTTTTTTTTTCCACAATCCTCAGACAACAAGATCAGCAAACAGAACAGAAGAATGGGTTTGAAGCCAAACTATAAGGTCTAGGCAAGATACACGGGCATAGGCATATAGGTATATATGTACATATAATGAAAATATCAAATTTAAGTATATATAAGTATATAAGAAATATAAAGTTTGAGCATATGTATATGTATATTAATATTAAAATTGGGCGAGTGAGCGAAAGCTTATCTCATTAAAACTCTCCACCAATTGATGGAATTAGTGATAAGCTTGGCTCATCTGCCTTCACGATCAAAATAGCAACAAGGAAAAGAGAATAAGAAGTATAGCACTCACCAATTCATCTGCTGCAGAACGCTGAAAGGCCTTTCCGTGTTGTTGCAGTCGGGGGAGCTAGTGGAAAACTATTAGTATGTATTGTAATTAGGCTATCAGTTATTGTTGTTGTTCACGTTTCATTCACTCGTAAGCGGGAAAACCGGTTCCGCTTGTTGGAATGTATGTAGACTGTACCCCGACTTAGTATTTTTTTTTTTGGTTTTTATATATTTTGTTAGCTAAATATGCTATTTTCTTCCTTGCTTTTCAAAAATTTACGTTGGGTTTTTGGTTGATTTTATGTTTTTCGTACAGTTCTATGTACAGGTATGCTCATGCACCAATATGTATGTATGTGCAAACGTACATAGGTACATCTATGCCTCTCACTTCCGCACCGTATTCACTTTCGAGACTTTTGGTTCTGTTTGATACTAATCTTTTTGGTTAAAAATTTTACCGATATAATGATATTTGCGACCTTCTTATTTCATTTAATTTATAATTACTTATAATTACTTATAATTTTTTTATTTTTTATATTTTTTTATTTTTTTAAATGTTCACCACCTTAGTTAATATATATATATTTTATAGTATATTTTATCCACTAGCATAAATTTTTAGTAATTTTTTCATATAATATTAACGACGGTGTTTCACGTGGCAATTTCCCGGCAA